TTTTTATCATTGTTGTGCTCTATTTCTGTAGAGATGTAGTTATTTCTTATATAGAGAGCAACTCCACCTCCTCTTTTATTTGGTCTGTTTCTTTTAAATAATTTAAATCCCTCTAGCTGTGTGTTCCATGTGTGGGTTTCATCCCACCATGTTTCTGTAATGGCAACAATATCATATCTGCCCTCATTAACCTGAATTTTTATTTCACCCTGTTTGCTGTTCATACTCTGTGCATTGGTGTATAGACATTTGAGTCCTTTGTGACTGGCCCTTTGTTTTTCTACATAACCTGTGTGGTGCCTGAGTTCCTCTATTATCTTACCACCTATTTGGTTAGTGCACTTTGTGTGGCACTCGCTATTAGAGGCTTCATTTTGCTTGACAGCAAGGTTGGTATTCTTGTCCACACACACATCTATGCTACATGCACTGGTAGCCCTATAATTTTTAGATTGCCGGGGACAGGGTTGTTCTGTATCAATTAACTCACTGTCCCCTTTCCACCTTTCCTCTAGGAATGCAAGATAAAATACATCGCACTCCTAACAGTTTTTCCACAGCGTATTGTGGAACAGGTTCAGCTAAGAATTAATGACAAGCTTAACTTAAACTCACTCACTTCTTTAACAGTTGCATCACAGCAAGGAAGTGTCAGAGGCCCAGTTGCTGATTCTATTCAGATCTTGATTGCGGAATCAAGATCTGAATAGAATAACCTAAACAGTTGTGCTCCATGTGAGTTCATTATTTGTAAGGTTTTCTGATTTTTTTGTTTTTCTTGAGATGAACACATCATTTCAAACTATGCATCTTGGGAGAATGGTGGGGAAAATAGATGATTGCGATATATTTAACTTTTTAGGGGAGCTAAGAAAAGGTGGGATGAAGTGGACAAATTAAGCCTGTCTCTGTCAAGATATATGAAAAATAATCATTGCTTTGTTGAATTACAGTTGCTTCGTTGAAATTTTTTGCATATGGCCTTGTGCTCTTTAAACTGTATAGAAAATAATGGTGTGTTGAGTGAAAAAAAGAAAGAGATATTTCTGTCCTTCTAAAAAACACCTTGGTGATAATTATAAAGAGACTTTACACTTACTTTCTTCCATGACAGAAAAATGAGTCTTCTGCAGACTTCTTGTTGAATTATTTACAGATCATCTACTAAGTGGCAGGCATAGAGCTCAGTCAAATTAGTAATTATATAGGTAGGTTTCCTGCGTTTTCTAAAATGTCAGCTGTCCAGATTAAGTTAATTAGGCACAGGCTTAAAGGGGATTGTCTTAATTACTCTGATAGTAATTGGCAGTTATCATGGCTACTACCAAGGTCTGCTTTCTCTCCTGCTATCCCTGTAGTTCCAAGGCCTTTGTTCTCATAGACTTCTTCCTTTAGCACCCATAGATTTGTCTTCCATAACCTGTATATCAGATATACTGATGTAGCAGTTGCCAGAAATACTATAGTACTGTGACACTGCCTAGAAATTTTGGAAGCTGCAGTGCAATCATATCTGGATATACCAGTTTGGCATATCCAGATATCATAATTCTTCCGTTATGAAGTAATCCATTTGTATCAGCCACTTGAGCTTTTGACATAAGTAAATAAGTTACACTTGAACTTAACACAAGCATGTTACCTTCTTGATTTTATTTATTCTGCTTTTATATTACTACATTCACTGAGGTCTCGCAATGATTTAATACTATATAGTAAAACAACCACATAACCATCAAATAAAAGCAGTGTATGATTAAAAATGTACTATTGGACATAATCAACCAACAGTTATTTTAACTGTTAAAATCTCTTTTGAACAGTTCTTTTTTCCACAGTACCAGGATATTTGGAGATAGGTTGCTATATGGCTTTCTATGGAAAGGTAGTTCCAAAGGGTTGGAGCCATAACTGAGAAGCATTGGCTTCAATCTTTAAAAATTCCCTGCAAAGGTAGCCCTTGATGTCCTACACAGGATGTCCAGAACAGGTGGATGGGTACTACTTAAAGGAAATAATCCTTCAAGTACCTGGGCACCAAACCATGTAAAGATGTATAGGTGGGTTTTGGGGAGGAGGGGAGTTATATTGTAAAACTTTTAAAAATTTTCAATAAAAAAAAAAAAAGATGTATAGGTCAAAACCCTGTATAGGTAGTCCTCGGCTTCCAACAGTTCATGTTTGATTGAAGTTAAAATGGTGGTGAAAAAAGGGACTTATGACTGTTTTTTCACACTTACGACCATTGCAGCATTCCCATGAACAAAATTCAGACACTTGGCAACTGGTTCATATTTATGACTCTTGCAGTGTCCCAAGGGTCATGTGATCATCTTTTGCAGCCTTCTGACAAGCAGAGTCAATGGGGAAGCCAGATTCAATTAACAAATGTGTTAGTAAATTAACAACTGCAGTGGTTCACTTAACAACTGTGGCAAGAGAGGTCGTAAAACGACCTGTTGTAACTCACTTAACACATGTTTCAATTAGCAACAGAAATTTTGGACTCAATTGTCTTCCTAAGTCGAGGACTACCTGTACTTTGAATCATACTGTGATAAGATAAGATAAGATAACCTTTATTGTCATTTTTTTTACTGTGGGCACAACGGCACACATCAAAAATGAAATTTATTTGCCTGCTCTCAAAGTGAACACATATATGACCCACACCTAAACATCCTATATACAACATATGTATAGACCCACACCCTTAAATATACATAACAAATAAATATTAAACGCTGTCCATCTTGAATATATAACGGAAGGAGGAAGCTTGAGAGTTCACAAGTTTAATGCTGTATGGAATGAATGGCTGAATCTGGATGTTCTGCTTCGGTTACCACGACGCCTCCTCCCAGAAGGTAGCAAGGAAAACAGGTTGTGAAGAGGGTGTGTAGTGTCCCAGACAATCTTGCGTTCCCTGCTCAAGCAACGCTTCTGTGCTATGTCCTGGATGGGAGGGAGGGAACTGCCAATGATCTTTTCGGCCATCCTCATCACTCTCTGCACCGCCTTCCTGTCTGAAGCAATGCATTAACATGGCATTGAAATAGAAGCTCTCACAGAGCTGGCTGCTACATTTTGCACCTACTTCCAAATAACCCTGCAAAGTCAGACATGAGACATTGCAGGCATCTCCTCCAGGAATGGATGCAGCAGATAAGACTGGTATGGTTTCCACCTCTCTATCTGGCAATAGCCATGACTTTAGGAGGCCTCCCGAGATCTGGACCTGCTCCATCAGGAAGTTTTCCATTTGTGCATGGTCATCTTGTTCCTGTTGCAAGTTCAAGATAGTAGAAACACCAAGCAAGATGCATGTACACAAATTCCATTTAAAGAGTGTTTCGTTATACAAAATAAGCTTTTTTTTATTAAAAGGAAACATGACCTAACACTTTTTTCTTTTTACTTCCACAGCTATTTTCTCTCATTTTCCCAACCCATGGTATTTTTTTACATAAAGCCTACCTAAAATGTTTGATATATTTAAGGGAATTCAGGAGCTTGAAAAGGTGATTCCAAATATTTGGGTTGACGAGAGTTTTCACACTTCTGTAACTGTCAACAGAGCTACTATTAATAGAGCAAACCAAAATTAGATATTACAGGGCTACAGAGAAAAGTTCTGCTGAAAAAAATGTTTTAAGAATAGAATTTGGTGCAGCGGATTATTGCTTCTTTACCGTAGTTATTGCCACACAAGGATTGAAATAGTCTTACCTGCTTTAGCTATTATTTGCATCACATTTTCTGTCTCAGTTCAGACCACCTAGTTCCTGGTGTTCTGTGATTGATCAAGCATTCCTGCTAAGCAGAAGGATACATGGCTATAAGCTAATCATGCCTACTCCGAACTCATTTCCATATGATACAAATTAACAGAATCCATATGATACAGATTGAGCTTTGTCATGTGTAACAAACATGTCAGCTAAAAACTTGCCTAAAGCCCTTGGGGGCCCATCAGATTATATCAATGTCTAGTGATAGATCATTGTAATAGATTTTTTCTCATTGCCATGCTAGGGGAAAAAAGATCTGTTTATCCAAATGAGCTAAATAAAATGGTCTGCCTGTGACAGTGGGGTCAGCTTCTCATTACCTCACTATAAAATTTCTGCCCAGTCAATACCAGTACAAGAGTGTGGCACAAAGTATATCTTGGTTTACTGTCTTGTTTGTTGTCATGGCAACCTTGAATTCCTGAGTTATTCTGGTTAAAGTTGTCAGAACATGAAAGTTGCTATCGAAAATTGTTAGGCTGGGAATCTTCAATATGTCCGACGGGGTGCCAGAATTTTGGAATCTCATCTGAGTTGAATAACAAAATGAGAGAAGGTTTTGGATCCTGTGGTTCTTACTAATATCCATGTCTGTCTGTTTTTACATATGTAATAAAGTGCTTTTTTCAATGCATATATCTGTTGGGAAACCTCATTTTAATTTTAATGGGTTTTGAGCCTTTATCTAAATTTCTTACTAAAATTGTCATCCAGACCTTTGACTTCCATTAGCTAATTGAATGATAGCTGTACTTTAGTTTAACGAATAGGTTAATTGCATTTCTGGTTAAAAAGTTAGTTGTGGTTAATTATAAATGATGAACAATTATTTCCATTAATTCTTAATAACCTCTCATGTCTGAGCACATTTGATGCACATTCCATTTATTATTCCCTGGTTTCATGGCCCTTTTCCAATTTCCCAGTAGAGAGATGAGGAAGAAGACTGTGCTGCATTTTTAGATTAGTATCATGGCGATGATTCATCCTCAAAGTCAGTTGAGGTGGAAAAAATGCTAATCTATTCTCATGTGTTTAATATTATGTATTACATTGTGTTTATTTTTCTTCTTCAGATCTCATTAATGGAGCCCAGGAACAGTGTGAATTGCCTCCTATGGATGGTTTTCCTCACTGTGAGGGCAAAGTAAAAGTAAGCCTCATCTATTACACCATTTATTTGTCTGGATGTATTCATTCTCCTATGTTCTAATGATCCCATTTCATCTGGCAATCTGTTAATTGATCAAAAGATGGGTGAAAAAATAATAATTTTCTCTTAGCAATGGGGTAGATTATGTAAGTATGGTGACTCATAAGGCATAGTAATTCATAAGGTATTGATCCAGATGTCAAAAATAATGCTGTAGAACTCTTTATGAAGAGGTTGAGTAGTAACATGTTGCAGGTTGCAGTTATATTTGAAGGGCAAGGATAAAAAGAGCCTCTCTACGCAGGAGACGGATGTTTAAGAATTTTATATATAAAGATAGATAGATAGATAGATAGATAGATAGATAGATAGATAGATAGATAGATAGATAGATAGATAGATAGATAGATAGATAGATAGATAGATAGATAACGTACGTACGTACGTACGTACGTACGTTCATAAAAATGTACGTACGTACATAATAATAATAATAATAATAATTTAATTTGTACCCCGCCCTTCTCCTCACCGGACTCAGGGCGGCTAACAGCCTTATAAAACCACAGTACAATAAATATCTGTATTAAAACCAAATTAAAAGAAAATATTTGAAAAGGCCAATCATTAAAATTACCCCTAAAATTACCCTTAAAAACCCCACATAAAAATCTAATAAGTTTCCAATCTCATTTACCGATACAAATCTGGTTGGATGAACTCCATATAAAAATGTAAGTTTCATGCCACATAATGTGGATAGTGATCATGGTGTTTGTAGAAATAGGAAAATTGTTTTGACCTTGATGATTCAAAATGTTGTTGCAGCAGCCACCTGAAACTTGGTTAAATTGTGTAGTTAGAATTGTATCTTAGGTTCATAAGAACCGTAACCTGTTGTTTGAAAGTATATGCATTATTATTATTTGTTCTTTCCTTTTTAGTGGATGAAAGATATGTGGAGATCTGATCCTTGTTATGCAAGTTACGGTGTTGACGGGTCCACATGCTCATTCTTTATTTACCTCAGTGAGGTCAGTAAATTTTTATTTCAACCAATACATTAAGATTTGGTGAAATTTTGTCTCTATCTGAATGCATGTGATAAACTGGTTGTAGTGTGTAAAAACATGGGTTATAAAAAATTGCTAGTCTTTAAAGTAGAAAAGAGTTTTTATTGCTTATGCTGCAAGAGAATACTCCTATGAAAATGACTCTTAAGCCTTATTAATTTAATAGCATGAAAGTATTAAAGTTTTCAGTTTGCCATGCAAATTTCTTTCCCAGAGGAAAATGACATCCTTCTCTTTTCAACTAATTATAACTTGTCAATATTTGCACCCCTATAAACTGTGTTTACTGCCAGACAGAACTCTGCCAGCCTTTGAGGAAATGCTTTGCTTTAATGAAGGCTCACTTTTTTTTTGCATGTGGCCCCTTTTGCAGCATCATAAAACAGCCATCTTCCTTTGCCTGCTACAGCTGTCTTAGCCAGCCAAAAGTGCCAAGTGGAATACAAGTAGTTCTCAACTTATGACCAGTCACTTAGTGACCATTCATAGTTACAACAGACCTCCCCGGGGGTACTTACGACTTGGTTCTGAAGTTCCAACCATTGAGCAGGGGAACAATCATGTGACTGTATTTTGGGCACTTCACAACCAGCTGCCAAACCCAAGGAACCAAGAACAACACGAGAAATTACTTCAGTGTAGTTTCTTTACTGATGCAGGGTCCATTACAGTCATCAATTGAGGGCTACCTGTATGACCAAACTTTCTCTGGTCAAAGGCTGTTTTTGTTCTTGCTAGTTGTCTTCTGAAATACGGTCAACTATAGTTCCAGAGTCAATACAGTTCCTTCCGTCCTATTGCATTTTAACCAATGGCCAATTTAATTCAAGTATACTGTATTGAATAAAAATAAACACAGTTATTATTGCTTTTGTTAATTATTGACTTAGTGTATATGCGCACAGTAACAATTAATAATTGATAATAAAAGAGCTGGAGTTAATGCTATAATTGTTACTATAATTATTTATGGATCCTGCCTGTGGATTTTTTTTACTTCAGTCACTGCAGTGGATACATTGGCCTATTAAACTACTTTAATTTGTTTCAGATCATTCTTCCTCCTTGTATTATACTGCTTTCTTATTATTCCTCTTATACTTTCCCCTCAAATAACTCGGAGTTCACATAGGCTTGTTTTAAATCTCTTGGGGATTAGATCAGTTCTCTTTTATCTCTTAACGTATTCCAGTAACTGCAACTATATCAGTCTGTCTGTGGACAGCATAGACCTAATAAACAGCATACCTAATAGACAGCATAGACCTATTAAAATCGGTTTGACCCCAGAACAACTTGTGGGAGACAATCACTAATAGAAAAGAAGGCAAAAACAGTAAAAAGCCCAGAGAGTACACCTAAGCACTTATTTTCAAACACTCATCATGCTTGGTGAAGCTTTCATCACGCAGCAGTGGTGCTGTCATCTAAAAAGGGTAGGAAGCTATTTAAGATAGCTTAAGACTTACAACCATCCATTTAGTGATTGTTCAAAGTTACAAAGGCACTGAAAGAAGTGACTTATGACCGCTTTTTACATGACCTTGGCATGATGACATGATCAAAATTTTGGCACTTGGCAACTGGTGTGTATTTATGATGGTTGCAGTGTCACTTGATCACCTTTTGTGACCTTCCGACAAAATCAGTGGGGAAGCTAGATTCACTTAACAGTTGTGTTACTAACTTAACAACTGCAGTAATTCACTTAACAGCTGTGGCAAGAAAGGTTGTAAAATGGGGCAAAACTCATTTAACAACTGTTTTCACTTAGTCATAGAAATTTTGAGCTCAACTGTTGTTGTAAGTAGAGGACTTACAGTGTGCACCAGCAGCCAAAAAAGCTAATACAATCCTTGGTTGTATAAACAGAGGCTAGAATCAAATTCAGGTGAAGTATTAGTACTGCTTTATAAATCCTTAGTAAGACCACACCTGGAATACTGCATCCAGTTTTGGTCACTACAATACAAAAAAGATGTTGAGACTTTAGAAAAAGTGCCAAGAAGAGCAACTAAGATGATTAAAGGCCTGGAGACAAAAACATATGAAGGATGGTTGCAGGAATTGGGTATGGCCTGTCTAAAGAAAAGAAGGACTAGAGGGTGACATGATACCAGTATTCCAATAGTTGAGGGGCTGCCACAAGTAGAGGGAATCAACCTATTTTCCAAAGCATCAGAAGGCAAGACAAGAAACAATGGATGGAAGCTAATCAAGGAGAGAAGCAACTTGGAATTAAGGAGAAACTTTCTAATGGTGAGGATAATTAACCAGTGGAACAACTTGCCTTCAGAAGTTGTAGGTGCACTGAAGGTTTTGAAGAAAAGACTGGACAGCCACTTGTCTGAAATGGTCTGGGTCTCTTGCTTGAGCAGAGGGTTGGACTAGAAGACCTCCAAGGTCCCTTCCAGCTCTATGCTGATTGATTGATTGATTGACTAACTGACTATTGGTACTGCCTGTACAAGTAGAACCTCCATCGAATCACAGCAATTAAAATAATCGCTCCGCCCGAAGCAGTAGCCAACTAGTTTTGGCTGCCTCATTCCTGAGCATAGCACAGAATGCTTCTGTGTGGCTTTTCCAATTACGTACTAATAGAAACTCAGCAGCATACTATTTGTTGTGCCCTAGAAATGCTAAAACCAATATTCTTTTCCACGGTTATGGAATTTCACACAGAGCCACATATTAGTTCTTGCAAGTTCCTATGTGTTTTGCAGACACTGGGTTGACCGGCCACCTCTGTTTTGAATAGTGGTGTATGCTCATTTGTTCCGAGTTAGTATCTCTGCATGTTACAACAGGACACAGTTAACACTTCAGTTTGTCCCAGTTCATACGTAACAATTTGCTGTTAGTTCTACACAACACCAAAGTTCTACTTGTAGCAGAAAAGGAGAAGGAGCAAAGAGTATTTCAAGCAAATCTTAGGGTCTCTTTGAAAGTAGTAAATGGCCTCACAATTAAAAAAAAAAGTTAAGTCAGTGTGAGATTGTGTTGAAATGTAGTCAGGGGTCCTAGGTGGCTGCTTCCCAGAGAGTAAAGAGGCAGCAGAGCTTTGGAATAGGAAGAGGGTAAAAACTGATTCTTCCTAGCAGTTCACAGAGTATATCTATAGTTATAAAGAAACTACTCAGAAGTAACTCCATGTGTCATTCCTGGTTTACAGGGGCCTGACAGAGATAACTATTTTATCAATAAAAAGTCTTGTTTATTGTAAGCACTGGAGTTTAGATCTGTTTATTGCAATGTATAGTTTTTTATATAAAAGTTTTGAGCAGCTGCAGTTATTATCTGGACACTGCAATGGTTCAGAGAATCCACATAGTTGGCTGTGAATTGACCTAATTATGCATGATGGGTGATAAATCATTGGTAGTATGCTGAATGGCTTTGCGCCTTCTGTTTCTGCTTTACTGCATGTTGAAATTTCGGTAGTGGGGGCAAGGTCATTTTTTCTTGCCTTTCGTCACTCTCCACTCTGTAGTGATCTGAAGCCAGGAGAAGCAGTAAAGTGTCTGAAAGAAGGTTTTTTTTTCCTTCAAAACCATTTTTATTTCCCTCCCACACACACACACAATTAAATGAATGAGAAAAGATGGTTTTAAAAAACCCTCCATTTTCCTTCTAAATTTTAAGGTAAAAAGGTTTTTTTTTTCTCTCTTGCTGCTAACCAGGGGTCTTCAAACTTGGCCCTTTTATGACTTATAGATTTCAACTTCCAGAATTCCTCAGCCAGCGGTGCCTGGCTGAGGAATTCTGGGAGTTGAAGTCCACAAGTCATAAAAGGGCCAAGTTTGAAGACCCCTGTGCTAAACTTTAAGAAATTTTATAGCTTTCCCTAAATAATGGGATACAATATCTGGAACGTATTACTCTGGAGAATTCCCTGTTTTTTTAAAAAAAAGATTTTTATCCCAACCATTTTGTTCCAGCTATTTATATTTCTTCACACATTTTTAATTCCAACTTCTACTTCTTTTAATCCAGCATTTCTCGTGATATTTCTGTATGTAAATTAAATAGTTAGTTGACGGTATACATTAGCATGGTTCTTTCCTAGTTTTGAACCATTTAGTTGCTCCACAATCCCTTTCAATTATTGTTTTTTTTGGTCCATATATAATTTTTCATTATATAGGTGGTATAGGTATTTTCATTATATACGGTAGGTGGTACATGTTTAACAAGGATAGTCTGTGATTTGTTGTCTATGCAGGAAAAAGTCTTAGTATAATTGAAAAAGGAAAAAATGACTGTGAAACTGTCTTGCCTTTTTCATTTAATATCTCTGGTGTGATCAAGTGCCTTTGCTTATTCTGAAACTAAATGTGTACCTTTGGTACTTTTCCTTTCACATATTGTTGAAGTGTTGACTATAATCATTGGAATTATCTTATTAGCATGTAAGTGCAACTTGCTTGTTAGTCTGAATATTATTCAGCACTTTGATTTGTGAGTGTTGCTATTTTGGTATCATTCAATATGCCACTCTTTGTATTTTATTGAAGATTAGCAATGGTTTGCTTTCTTGATTTTTTTCATGCAAACTTATGTTAGAAGTGGATAATTTGATATTGCATTATGCTGAGTGAACACTTGTTCGTTTCATACTTTTTATATGCTGATAAATCATTAGCCTTGATTGTAGATGACACAGAATATTGTGTGTCATGACTATATGTGTAGCTCTTTAGTTACTTTATTTTTGTATGTTTTGAGTCAGCCTTGAAAAGATAACAAGAAGTTAGCTTGTTAATATCTCCCTCACATTAAAAACTATTCCTGGCATGTAATTGTAAATGTTGTTATCAATATCTTTTTATAACATAAGCATATCATAGAGAATGCAATAAATCTTGTTCACCAAAATACCTTCAAAAGAAGTGTGATAACTGTGATTGAAAGGTGTTTTTTTTTAGATCAGTGAATCTTGATCCTTCTAACTTTGGCATGGAAAAATTGAAATATTACTTTGATTAACTGCAAACACATTATAAAACAGGTTTATATCATAATTCCAATCTAACAGACTGTTGGATTTGCTTTGAGAAAGGAGCTTAAATAAAGTTAATCTTCAGGAATATCTCTGCCTATATTTGCCTGGACACAATGGTCATCCTTGAAGCCCTACCTTTGGGCATTTGCATTAAAAGTAAAATTAGATGTGTGAGTACAAAGGGGAGGAGCACTCATAATTCTCAGACTACACTTGTTGGGTACAGGTAGTCCTCAACTTACAACAGTTCATTTAGTGACCGTTCAAAGTTACAACAGCACTGAAAAAAGTGACTTATGACCGTTTTTCACACTTACGACACTTGCAGCATCCCCATGGTCGCATGATCAAAATTCAGAAGCTTGGGAACTGAGTCACATTTATCACCATTTTAGTGTCCCGGGTTCATATGATCACTTTTTGGGAAAACCAGATTCACTTAACAACCGTATTACTAATTTAACAACTGTAGTTGTCATAAAATGGAGCAAAATTCACTTAACAAACTTAGCAACAAAAATTTTGGGCTCAGTTGTCATAAGTTGAGGACTACTCTATTTGCTGTAGGATATCATAAGTAATGCCCATATTAATGTGACTTTGAGGCCATGCCAGGCGTTCTTCTTTAGGTATTTTTGTAAATTTTTACAGATAGATTTTATTTTAAATGTACAAACAATATACAATAATCACTTTTATGTTTTATAATATGTGATATTATTGTTTGGATTTTTATTTTAATAGATTGATAGTCCACATTGAGAACTTTGGTTATTGGCGCATTAACAATTGTAATAGTAACAGATAATAATAAAAATGGCCAAATAATTAGTTAGTGTTACAAACTATTACTTGTTTGACATGTAGCCTACTTTACCATAAGCTCTGATAGATACAGGGGTTCTCAACCTTGGCAACTTTAAGACTTGTGGACTTCAATTCCCAGAATTCCTCAGCCAGCAAAGCCCACAAGTCTTAAAGTTGCCAAGGTTGAGAACCCTGTCAGATAGAATAAAACTAACTAGAAGTTGGAGAGAAAGGGCCAATTAAATTGTCATCAGTTATGCTGCACTTTGTCCTGTGTATCTTTTATTGGATGTTAGCTTCCTATCAGATAGAGTAAGTTCATAGAAAATGTTAGAAACCTAGTTCAACATTATGTATGGATGCAGTTCTTTTCCAAATTAATTTTTATTAAAAAAGTTTTAACAGAACAAATACAAATGTAAAGAAAAAGGGAAGGAAAGTTAAAAGTAAATAAGAAATAAAGACAAAAAAAGAAAGAGAAACGGAAAAAAAAGATATAAAGGAGTGGCTTTATAGTTACAATCTGCCATAACTTATTACAATTGTCTGTCCATTAATCCCAGCAAGAAAAGTTCTGGTTTCAGATTAATATTAATCTTTAAAATTCTTTGTATTATTTTATGCACCAAGCATGATAAAATAAATCCCTCATGTTTTTCACATTGCCACGTACAGATATGCTTCTAAGTGACTAATAATACCTGCATTAATTTCATAGGTCCATTACAAAACCCATATCAAGCCGTACTACTTCATTTGTTCAGGTGCTGCCTTCTGGCATTATGCTGTTGAGCTGCTTGGCTTATTTGGAATTTTAAAAATATGTAGATACCCTTCCAAGATATAGTTTTTGTAAGAAGAAAGTACACATTTATTTGTACTACATTATTTTAATAGATGAATAAATATTTTAGTATATATTCTCATCCATCCATTTAGGACGTATAGGCCTAACGTGCCATTTCATACTTAAACTTTGTGAAAATCATGTTATTTCCAGTAAGGAAATATGTGTATATATAAATATATGGGGCATTTAATCCCATTGGGGCATAATTTTTTATAATCTTTCTTGTAAAATTTAGCTTTTCTTTTTTTAGCAGAGCTTTGTGCTTCACTGCTAGTGTGGTTATGAATAAGAACTAACAATTTTGAAAGGCTGCCTATTTTTTCTTTTCTTTTTGAAACCTACAGTACTAGCTAGAATATTGAATGACTGATGTTCTGGCTAAAAGCCATCTCTTGAATTACAAAGGGCTAGTACATTTCCTTGTTGTTCGAAGATCAGACTTGGGTCACCTGGTAAAAGTTGGCACTTCCGCTATGGGAAACAAAGAAGTGCCATCATGATATTAACTGCAAATTATTCAGCAAACATACTTAATCCTACCTTTCATTTGTGGTTTATGACAAGCATCTATGGTATTAGTGAATGCAAGCACAAAAGGAAGTTCTTGTATCCAATACAACAATGTGGATATACGAATTAGTCTGCCTGATGTAAGTCACTGGGAACTGACATTTTATATGACTGTTTGCTAAAATGGACAGTGATGGAGAATTAACAGTTTATGATATGGCTGAAACTGAATGCTAACTATTGTGGTTATGTTTATAGTAGTTTGGGAGAATTAGAAACAAATCAAACTAGAAATTTTAATAGTAAGAAATTAGTTATTAAAGGGAAAAAATCTAATATTAATATTTATTTTTTAACTTCATCACTAGTGGAAATCCCCCAAAGATAGGGATGCTGTGCTGATCTCCTGTAGCTTTTCATTTAACTTATTGAAAACATGCAGTGTGGCTTTAAATTACAAGAAGGCATCTTTTGGGACATTTACCATTGGCCTACCCATTTAGTTTAATGAGTGGAAATGTCAGCTTTCTATGTGGAATGAAATTGGCCCAATAAAACAAAATTTGGTTGCTTGTAAAAGATTGAATTATTTTTAAGAAGTTGTCAGACAAGGTGGAAAAAAATGCATTTGGAGTTTAATGTGGATATTGACTTGAAACAAATTAAAGTTGAAACTTTGCGAGTGAACAGATTACTTTTAATTTATCTTTAAGTTAAACCCAATTTAATAAATAGATCTGATTAAACCTCATACTGTAGGTCTACTTTTACATCTGACCAATACATAATATATATTTTTATTAATAATAACACCTCCAAATCACAAGACCTTGGCTTTATTCTTATTCTTCCCCTCTGCAGTTTGAATATAAAGTATAAAAGACTAAAAAGAGATTTTTGTAGACATCCCAGCCTTTGAACTACCCAAGGAACCGAAACAGCAAAGTTTCGCTGTCGCGCAAGCTTCCACGCCAGCTGCCTTTCTTTCCTCTCGCTTCGCCTCTTTTTAACCTCACACTCCACCTTCTGTAAGGGAAGGCAAAAGGCTCACTCACCCTCTCATGAAAGATGGCCTCCATGTTTATGTGTCTCCCACCGCCACTGTCGACTTCCACACAACATGGTCCGACCCAGCCAATCAAGTCACGCTCTGGCTGTGGTACTCTGGCAGCGCCTCATGGTTCCTCCTAAAGGAGGCAGACAGCGTCGGAGGGGAACCCTGCTCACACCGTACCGCCATCGGGGCATTTTCAAAAACAAATAAGGATAGGAAAGGAAACAATAGGAAAAGAACGCAACTCTAGAAAATCCATCGAAAAAAGGCGCCGGAACTCTGTTCCGGTGCATTCTATGACAAAAAAAGCCCTGCTTATATGAGCTCCTACTAAAAGATAACCAGTTTATTGAAGGACAGAAGGAAACCTTTAGAAGTAAAGCCATTCCCTGTATCTTTTGAACTTCATTGCTGTTTTTGCTATCTTGCTAAAACATTTTTGTCACCTGCCATACTTTTAGCTGTTCTGTTATATGTGCTATTAAATGAGGATGGAATTGCATCAACAAACTACACTGTTGGTCATTTTACTGGATTCTGAAACTGAACCTAACATTTCTGCAGGTTGAAAATTGGTGTCCTCGTTTACCCTGGAGAACAAAAAATTCCAATGAAGAAATGGATCAGAAGACAACAGTAAGTCTTACTCACATTTAAAATTGGCTTTGGAATTGTTTTAGTTTTTGTAAAATAGAGTTCTCAATGTTTCCACTAAGAAAAATAGTATAGATACTAACACAGAGAGTTAGTCCACCCTAACATCTGGTATTCTGATAATGGTCTGCCCTATCATCCCCCTTTCCCCCCCTTACTCTGCTTGAAAATAGTATGTGGGAAATAAGTTTTGAGGGAAAAGGTTAAAAAAAAATAACCACTCAGGAAATATTTATACTCATGGCTCATTTTGTGATGACTGGATTTACTGAATTTGCAAAAGGTATTTGAGATTTAAGTTCAGAATCTTTATTTGATGGTAATCAGTGAACTGTGTTTGGATGTAGCATATCTTCACTAGAATTTTGATAAGGGAGCCAGATAAGATAAATCAGGATTTTTCAAGGATCAGCAACTTTGTGTCCCCAAGTGCCATTGCTACATTTCAGAAAGATCTTATATATCTTGGTATTCTCATGTGAAATATTGAGAGATTTCACATTTCATTTAGGAATCCAGGTAGATTTTCTGACACCCACGAGTATTGCAAATATTTTTTAACATTAATTTCTATTTGTTTTAGTGTTAATGTCTGCTTTATACTTTTGAATTTTGAAACATCTGTATGTCCCTTTAATTTAATGAAAATGAAACATCAACCTTTCGCCTTCACAAATACACGTAGGAAATTTTGATTTTACCTTACCACTGATTTTTAAAATGTATTATTTAGTTGAAGACTGAAATCAGAACCAATTTTGATTTGCTGTACAAAATAATGTCGAGACATGAAGAATTCCGGTGGATGGTGCTGCGAATAAAAAGGATGGCTGACACTTGGATAGAAGCAATAAAATCACTTGCTGAGAAGCAAAACTTGGAGAAGAGAAAACGGAAAAAAGTGAGCTCACTACATAAAATATATTTCTACATTGTTTAAATTTGAAAAGCACATTGAAACTTCAGGGAAGGAATGGAAAAGGGAAGTCCCCTTGACTGGAGCTCTGGTTCTGTTGATGAGATGGACGGGTGTTTTCTTGGCAATAACTCAGTGCCACAGGCTCCCGGTCTGCGTAGATACTGCTAAAACTCTTATGTCTGTTTGATACTTTGTAGCCTCCAATTAGGCGAAATGCTGCATCATAGGGTATAACTTTGTCTAACTTACAGAAAGTTGGGACCCATTACACCTGAGGGACTGAAATTTGAGAAAGTAGTTGCTGCTTCAGTTCTGCGGGCTGTTGCCATTTCAGTGGCCCTATTACACTACGGTCATGTGACCTCATTTTCACCATTTCCTGATACCTTTAAGATGGACACTCGCACAATCCTTCCCTCTCTTTCCCACCCATCAGCAGCTATTTCCCTGCTTGCTGGGAAGGGAAGGAAAGGAAAGGGAGAGGAGGAAGGAACAGGAAGGGAGGAAGGAACCTCAACATACCTTTTCTTGCCCACACTGCTCCCCTCTGCGTCCTCTTTGACCCCAGCCACCTCCCATGCAATTATTCTGACCCAAGCTGCACCTCTTATGCTCCCTGCTCCCCCCTCCACACATCCTTCCTAACCTGTGCTGCCTCCTGCACACCTGAGCCACATGGCACCTCAGCATCATCATGTTGCCTTCCAGAGTTGGGCACCCAACTCACGTCAACATCTTTCAGGAGCCTTCCCTGACCTGTGTGGCCCTTCTCATGCACCCACGCAGACTCTTTCCACCCCATGCTGTACCCCATGCACTCTCCCCAGCCCAGGTGACATCTGTCTTGCAGTCTAATGCACCCAAACCATGCAGCCCCCTGCAGATCCTCCACAGACCGCATGGCACCTCTTGTGCACCTGACTTCTGCAGCATCCTCACATGTCCACCCCAACCAATGTGGCCTCTCTCACACACCTTTCCTGGCTGATACCACTTTTTTTGATCCATGGCGGAGGGAGGGAGGGAGGAAGGAAGGAAGGAAGATTTGTGATGTTCCCTGCCAGCTTTCCACAGGCAAACTCCGTGGGGAAGCTGGCAGAAAGCTGGAAGTTGCTCCCATTCTCACTGCTTTTGTTGCCTACATGCGGCCATTCTGCTCCATTGTTTATATGAGGAAATATCTCTGAGATGAAGACCCAGTGGATTATGGGTTGTCTGGTTAATTACAGCTCTGAATTTTCCTGGTGGTTTCGTCTGTATGTGTGCATGGGTGCTGATTATTGTAATTTTATCAACATGGAACTGTCTTTGAAGACCACCCACAAACTTTAACCAGTACAGAATGTAGCAGTTTGTGTACTGACAGTGTTGAAGTGTTCACTTGTAAAGCCTGTACTGCAGGAACTGAATTGGTTACCAGTTTTGTTTCTGGATGCAATTAATGGTGGGGGCAATAACTTACTTAGGTTTTACATGCCATAAGACCTAGGTCTCCATGAGATCATTAGCTTCAATTAAAATTAGCCTGCCCAGTTTGAGTCAGTAGAGAATAAACCACCTTGAGGAGCAGAAAGAACTGATTTGGAGAAAAAATATTTGTGGCGAAAGCTTTTCTGCTGCAGAACTGGATATCCTTAGAAATATGAAGAATAAATAAGAAGCATCTTCATTAATAAAACTGCCAGAAATGATTATTTGAATGGGCATTCCAGGATTGAATGGGTGTGAAAAACTAAAATGTGGATGATGCTAATTTTGGGGTTTTATGAAGGCTGATGAATAGTCCAGATGATTGGACCACTTTTTAAATTTATATTATGATAGTTACATATTCATAGTCATATTATTTAAGAGTACCAGTTTAATGTAGTGGTTAAGGCATCAGGCTAGAAACCAGGAGACCGTGAGTTCTAGTCCACCTTATGCACGAGGCTAGCTGGCTATCTTGGCCAGTCACTTTCTCTGAGACATAAGAAGGAAGCAATAGCAAAACTAAACAAAAATCTTGCCAAGAAAACTGCAGGGACTTGTCCAGACAGTTTCCAAGGATTAAACATGATTGAATGAAAGGGGAGGGGAAGTGTTTTATGTTCTTTGCTTTCCTTGTGAAACACTTACCATTTGATTGATTGATTGAAGTGCACCTAATAATGAATGAATAAATTTATATACTCATTCATAAATATGAAGCTATAATCTTTAATGTTTTCAGCCAACATAGTTGTAGAACAACATTTGGGAAAATGGTTGGGAAATTGGATCCTGTGTGTGATGTCACAGGGTAATGTTTAAGATGAAAAGTAATAATGAAAACTAAACATACAAAATATTAACGATAGTCCTTTTGTACAGGTAGTCCTCAACGTACAACCAAAATTGACCTCAAAATTTATGTTGCAAAGCAAGACAGTTATTGTGGAATTTGTCCCATTTTACTACCTTTCTTGCCACAGCTGTTAAGTGAATCACTGCAGTTGTTAAGTTAGTAACTTGGATGTTGAGTGAAACTGTCTTCCCCATTGACTGCTTGTCAGAGGATCACGAAGGGTGAGATCACCTGACTCTGGGGCACTGCCATGGTCATAAGTATGAATCGATTGTCAAGCGTCCAAATATTGATTGTGTGACCATGGGGACACTGCAATAGTCATGGGGAAAATGGGGATAAGTCACTTTTTTCCATGCCAATTGTAACTTTGAACAGTCACTAAACAAATGGTTGAGGACTACCTGTGGTAGAATTGAAGAAAAATATATATGGTTTTGTCACTGACTAAAGGTCTAGGGTAGAGTCATTAAATTATCTAGAAATTGTCAACAGTTGGTGCTGAAATTGTTCCTCATTGTCTCTCTTCCTTTCGCAGGTCCTTGTTCATCTGGGACTCCTCACAAAAGAATCTGGATTCAAGATTGCAGAAAATGCCTTCAGTGGTGGCCCACTTGGCGAACTAGTCCAGTGGAGTGATTTAATTACATCTCTCTATTTACTGGGCCACGACATAAGGATTTCAGCTTCCCTGGCAGAACTCAAGGAGTAAGGAGATTATAATCCACTTTAAAAGTGCAGCAGCAACACCATTCTTCTCAGAGTATTCATTGTACAGCTGTAAATTTGTGAAGGGGAAAATGAAAATGATAAAATTCCCTAAACAGTGATAAAATTAGTTTCATAAGCTAAACATGTGTACTTTGTGTACTTTGTAGTTGCTTCCTCCTGAGTTTTGATTAAATGAATACTAGATCATTCAGACTATGCAGCTTTATTCCCTATCATTACAGGTGTGTTAGACATCTGCAGAAAAACTAAATGGGCTTAATTGGTTGCTTTTCTTTCTTAAACGAACTTTATTTCTTAATAAGAAACTTGTTATGGATAAACTGACTGTAATTTGGGTGAAAATACTACTTTTACTACAATTTTGATCTATTTTGACAGTCTTCTTGCATATTATCCATAATTTCTAAATTTAACTGATTTAGAATATTGCACTGGAAAGGCTTTGAGAACGCAGATTTTGTTGCATTGCCCTGTTTCACGGTAGGACCTGTTTAATAGAAGAAATTTGCTATGTCACATCAATGACTATTATTGAAGGTAAAAAAGAAAAGGGGGTGCCACTGGTTAGATGGTGTCATCAAGGCAATGAACATGAACTGGGGCAAACTCTGGGAGACAGTGGAAGACATGTCCGGCATGCTGTGATCCATGGAGTCGTGAAGAATCAAGCATGACTTAGGGACTGAATAGCAACAAATCAATGACTATTACTGATAAGACTACAGAACTGTTGGGCTATTCACATTCTATTAAAGCAAACCCAAAAGGCGTTATATCCTGCTTTCCTACAAAACAAGACTGTAGCTGTCACTAGAATCTGCCCTGCTTTGATGATATAGAAAGAGTAATAAAAGCAAATGTCTGCAATGCTGACTTGAAAAATTAAACACCTATTGACATTTGTTCTTGTATAACAAAAAGTTTGGTCTAGGGCAGCAGTTCTCAACCTATGGGTCGCGACCCCATTTGGGGTCGATCGACCATTTCACGGGGGTCACCAAGCAAGGCTGTCCGCCATTTTTTTTGTCCGCCATTTTTTCCCCCTTTTCCGGCGGGTGCCTTACCTCCCTTGGGCTGGGCCAGCTGGTGGTCAGCCTGCTCCGTCTCTGCTGCTTGCCAGCTACGCCTCGGCCGGCGCAGGGGGCAGAGCCACGCATGCGCGGCGCTCCCGGGCAGGGAAAGTCCTCGACTTACGACTGGTTGGGTAGTCCTCGACTTATGACCGGTTTAGTCCTCGACTTACGACCGGTTTAGTCCTTGACTTACGACCGGTTGGGGGTCGCGGCATTAAAAAGGTTGAGAACCACTGGTCTAGGGGGTAAGGAGGTAGGCAAGCAGCAAGGAGATTATGAGTTTTAGTCCTGCCTGAGGCATGGAAGCCGGCTGAGTGACTTTAGACTAGTCAGGCCTAGCCACTTTCTCTCGGCTCAACTCATCTCACAGGGTTATAATCGCCACCTTGAGTTATTTACAAAAGTAATAAAGCCAGGATATATGAAATGTAAACGACAACTCTAATGAGTTGTACCAGCAGAGTGTTTTGCTTATCGGGTTATGAAAGGTTATTTCTCTCTTGTACATTTTTGTATGAAAGTCTTATTTTTTTACATTAATCATGACAGTTTTAGAACAGATAATTTTGTGGTTTAGACTACTTCCTCAGGAAAATGTCTGAAACTTTCTTAACTTCAGACGTAGTGCTCCTTCTCAAGAATCTTGCCTTCACTTCTCCGTTTTTATTAATTATTCTGCCTGTAAAAAGAATTTTCCTTAAATTTTCCTCTTTTTCTTTTTGGCTAGGATTATGAAGAAGGTAGTTGGTAACAGATCTGGCTGTCCTACACAGGGGGATAAAGTGGTGGAGCTTATTTATATCGACATTGTGGGACTCACTCAGTTTAAGAAAACTCTTGGGCCATCCTGGATTCATTATCAGTAAGTATTTGTCCTTTACAAAATAATTCTCTCTACAACCATTCGTTTAGTGATCAAAGTCACAATGGCACTGAAAAAAACGACTTATGATCATTTTTTTCACACTTAACACCCATTGCAGGATCCCCTTGGTCAAGTGATCAAAATTCAGGTGCTTGGCAACTGGCATGTACTTATGATGGTTGCAGTGTCCCAGGGTCACGCAACCGCCTTTTGTGGCCTTCTGACAAGCAAAGTCAATGGGGAAGCCAGATTCACTTAACAACCGTGTTACTAACTTAACAACTGTAGTCATTCATGTAAAAACTGTGGCAAGAAAGGTCATAAAATGGGGCAACTGTCTTGCTTAGCAACATAAATTTTGAGCTTGATTGTAGTTATAAGTCAAGGGCCTCCAGTATTAACTGTAACTTTTTATTTCTTTCCATACTTACTCTTGATCCTGACATTTTCATGTCTCTGTCTCTGTCTCTCTCTCTCTCTCTCTCTCTCTCTCTCTCTCTCTCTCTCTCTCTCTCTCTCTCTCTCTCTTCACAAGCAGCTTTCACACAGAGCATTTTGAGACAGAACAGACAAGAAAGCTTCTATTTACATACCTGGCTCAGTGCTTGATGTATATTTGCTGAGCTTAAACTAGGAATCTTTATGGATGAGCAGCTGTTTGCACACAAAAGCATCGCTGTGATTCGAATATTTAGCTACACAGATGGCTTTATTCTGTGAAGCTGCTTCCTTTACAGATACTTGGGTGAAACCTAGGTCTATTGCTTAAAATATTTTTTATGAAAAGCAGTGGACAAGAGTTTTTTAAAGCATAAGCCACAAGCTGAGTATCTGTGTTGGTTTATCTGATTTCTCATTTATCTTACTCTTGTAATGGATAAAAACAGTCTTCTTTCACTAAGCGCTCATTGGGAATGTTGAGTCCACAAATTCTAAAGTTCCCAGCCAGTACATTTGCTGCTCTCATTAGCTGAAAATTTTGGAAATTGGAGTTATATTTTACTGAAGGGCTTCCATTGGGCTTCCTGGGTTCATTATCAGTTAAGTATTTGTCCTTTACAAAACAATTCTCTTTATAGGAAGTCCAAGCATTCATTTAGTGACCGTTCAAAGTTACAGTTGGCACTGAAAAAAGTGACTTATGAACATTTTTTCACACTAAGGACCATTGCGGCATCTCTGTGGTCACGTGATCAAAATTCGGATGCTGGGTTATTGGCATATATTCGTGTCGGTTGTAGTGCCCCAGGATCGTGTGGTCCCCTTTGGCAACTTTCTGACAAGCAAAGTCAATGGGGAAGCCAGATTCATTTAACGGTCGTGTTACTAACTTAAGAACTGCAGTGTTTCACTTAAAAACTGTGGCAAGAAACGTCGTAAAGTGGAGCAAAACAACTGTCTTAACTTAGCAGGTCTTTTGGACCATCCGTTTCTTCTGAGATAAAAATACCTTCTGGCTACTGTACTCTGCTGGCGGCTGCAGAGCTCCAGAACGCATGTCTCTTCCCACATGTGTGGCAAGGTTGCGGCTTTATTGGCAACTCTGCCAGGCTGACGCTGGGAAAAAGGCACAAATAGAGAAGGGGCTTAAGAGAACACAGGTGCCTGCAATTTTGTTCAAGCACCTTGCTGTTCGCACAATGGTTTTCTGCATTATGCCAACACAAATTACATTGCTTTTCGTTTTTATAACGTACTGTTTCTAATACATTCTGTTGTGATTGTGCTTTATTTTCCCTCCTAGGTGTATGTTACGGGTGCTGGATTCCTTTGGGACCGAACCAGAATTTAACCATGCTCACTATGCCCAGTCTAAAGGCCACAAAACACCATGGGGGAAGTGGAACCTTAATCCGCAGCAGTTTTATACAATGTTTCGTAAGTTAGTCTTGTCAATAAAATAACTCAGTGTCAGGATAATCCTAGCAATTTTAAAAGGTGGGAAAATATGTTTTAAGGTAAATGGGGTCTCCCATAAAAATCAACTCAGTTCTGAAAAGTTGGTTTCTGAAATATTTGCAGAAATAAAAAGCAAGTTTGATTTAGCTCCGTGTGTTTCTTAACAGCGTCTTCAACTCATGTTATTGTTGCTTGATTCAGATGTTCTTTCTGCTCCTGAAGTTCCACAGTAGTTGGAGACTCTAGAGGAATTACTTATGGCACCAGTATAGCAATTTTTTCAGGGATTTGAATAAGTGCAACTTGTACAACTTATACAACTTATAGAATAAGGAGCTTGACATTTTGTCCTGGTATTTTTTTCCAGAAGAAGTTGCTTTAAATAATGTTAGATTAGTTTCTTATGACTTTAAAATAAATGTAGTACAAGAAAGAAAAAAAATCCTTTATGTATAAGAGAAAAATCAGAGAATAATCAAGAAGGTTACAAGTATTTCCTGTTGAAGATGTAACTCAGGAGTTAAAACTAATTCATATTTGGATTTGTGTCAGTGCATCTTCTAGACATTTACAGGCTGCAAATTGTCCCTTTTTTTGCAAGTGTTACTGTGAATGATGCACTAATACACTTTTGTTGTTTAATTTGCAGCTCATACTCCAGATAACAGTTTCCTTGGGTTTGTTGTGGAGCAGTATCTGAATTCCAGTGACATCAAACACTTCAATGTCATTAAAAGGCAGGATCAATCACTTGTTTATGGAAAAGTTGATAACTTCTGGAAGGTGAGTTGCCAGGCTAAGCAAATTTGTTTTGGTTGAGCATAAAACACAAAGCTGAAGACTTTTAATTTGTTAATACTTTTTAAGAGCTTTCTGTCCAAACTGGCTCTTGTATCTAAAATCTTTTTATATTTATTTACTTATGGTCCAAAACCAAGTCACAGAATTTAAAACTATAGCATACTATTAATATATGCATAAGTAAGTATATATAACACATACATATATAAAAGGAAGCAAACCCCATACATTTACAGTTGCTTATATCTAAAAAAATTAAATACTAAGTCACATTATGCTTTAAATACAGTTATATCTCCTTTTATATATTTGTTTTCTTCCTTGTTTGTGAAGATTGACCATCTATCAGTGTTCCGTCTGTTTAGCAGTTTCTTCCCAAATGTCATCTAATTTTTCCCTATTACATTTTGGGAAAATATATTAAGATAGTTTAATCAGCTCAGTATTCTGTAGAGTATATTTATTGATTTTACTTTTGTAGCAGCTAGAATTAATGAAGTACAAAAACATCTTTAATGTTGATAGTACTATTTATTTTATTGCTAGATGTTTTAAAATTGTTCGTTTTTCCTCCCCAAATCAATCTACCATATTTCTGTAACAAAGAGGAAAGCATAAAAAATCGTGGTTTTATTAAAAGTTTGCAAAATAGTCTTTCCTAACCAATTCTCCAGATGTACTGTAGTTCAGTTTCTATAATTTCCTTCCAATTCTGTAAGTATGGAAAGTTTCACATTAGGTATCTGATGTAAAAAAACAACATCATTCTTCTGTTAAATCAGTTCTGTTGTTTTCATTTTTCTAAAGAGATGAAAAATAGGAGGGAGATAATATACATCATATTATATTATAACACATCATAAGAATGTTTGCACAAGATTTCATCCAGTTGATACTTGTGGAAAAATGGTATGCATGCGTGTTTCTTGGAAAATAATTTTTCCAGAAGCTGTAGTATTGCTCTAGAAAGAAATAAGCAGATTTGAAAAGTAATGCCGGAAATGGATTTAGGCTTGAGCTATTGCCCTTATGAAGTTTTGAAAAGTATGTTATTAAGAGCTATAATTCATTTATCTTTCTATTCATCTTGCTGCATTAAATGTTAGGAAACTATTTTAATTCACATTCTGCCATTTATAATGTTTATTTAATCTTCAACCAGGCTTTAGACATGTATGTCTTACTCTGTAAGAATTATTCTCTGTAAGAATAATTATAGAGCAATTGAGGACATACAATTACAGTATTGGACAATTCCAGCTCAGTCACAAGGCTGACAAGAGTGTTAAGTTCTCTCTAGGCAAAAGGTGGATTGAATTTTGGAATGGTATTCTTACTTTTAGAATGGATTATGATTATGATTTAAAATTCTTGTCCCCTTTTCTCCTCCAAAAAATTCTAACTTATCTTTTAAACTTCTTTTCTTTGGGGAAAAAACAAAATGATCTGATTGGTTTGTTGGGTTTTTTTTAGAATTGACTTCCAGGTAAATCGTATAAATAACATAGCATGCTTACAAGGTAAAAAATATACAAGGAAAAGTTTCATCCATCCCTTTGTCAATCCATTCTGATTTTGCAACTTACTGATACAGAATTTCCAATTATCCCCTTTCCAAATTCTCAGGATTATATTTTTCTGTTAAAATTGCCTTCGGAGAGAGAATTAAAAATCCCTTTTAGCCTCTGGTCAACCAAATAAGTTTTATAAAGAGGCATTTTTAAGTAAAGGTGGAAATAAAAAGCCTGAAATAATGACAATTACATACATGATGATAAACAAAGAGGTTTTTTGAATGGAAGTTTATTATAGTTCTCAAGAAAATTGACAAAGCAGATATAATCATTGCTGTTCTGTAGATCTAATCACTGCTGTTCTGTGTGTTTAGTGTTGGAGAACTGTTTTTTTAAAATCTGATGCACCTAAGCAGTAGGGATATTTCACTTTGTTCTATGAATATACTAGCTCATTCTCTGTTTCTAATCAACATGTATCAAAAGAGTTTCTTGTGTTCCTGGTTTTTTTTTTAACTTTCAGTAGTGAAAAAAGACCCCAGTTCCTTAATGTTCCCTTAATCCTTGGTTTATTATTTGATTCTTCACTGAACAAACTTAAGCACATTCAGTTTTTTGGGGGTTCACTAAGTCAGGGCTTTTCAACCAGTGGTACGGGTATCACCTGTGGTACATTGGCACCTGGCAGGTGGTACATGACCATCCTAGAAAAGTGGTAGCGGGGGAGGGGAATAAGCTGAACCGGTGGCAGCACCGCACAAGCCTGAACGAGAGATGGCTGGAGCTGCAGGGCTGTCAGGGCTCAGCGGAAGCACCAGGATCAGCGCCAGGCTCCAGCTGGAGCTCAGCGCTGATCTTGGTGCTTCCACTGAGCCCAGAAGAAGCACCAATCAGCTGGAAAGCAGCACTGATCCTGGCACTTCTGCTGAGCCCAGAAAAAGCACCGATCAGCTGGAATGTTGCAGCATCTCCAGGGTCTTGTGATTTACATTCAGATGCTTGGCAACTGATTCATATTTATGACGGTCACAGTGTCCCAGGGTCATGTGAAGTGACCAAAACCTGCTGCAATCATCCAGCAGATGGGGGGAATAAAAACCAAACAGCACCCCACCCCACCCCCGCTGCCAATCCTCAACAGAAATGATCACAACAATGAAAACCTCAGACAGGAGGAAGAGCGCCACTGCGTGAGCAGGCAAGTGTCTTGCTTGGCTGTGGCTTGGGGGGCATTTTTTTCAGTGCCATTGTAACTTCGAACAGTCACTAAGCGAACTGTTGTAAGTCGAGGACTACCTGTCCTCTATCACTTCCCCCCCCCCTTTTTTGTCACCAGGTTTTTGACACCTTGCTAGGCGACTGGTGGTACTCGGATGTTGCCATATCCTAAAAGTGGTACAATGGGTGAAAAGGTTGAAAAGCCCTGCACTAAGTCATAGTGTTGCTTACTTAACATTGATGGACCTCAAATATGGCACCATTCAGAAACAAGCAATCTAGTGTGATTTATGTTATATCAGTTTGTGAATAAGTGATATATTCCCTGCTCTTTCCTCTTACTTTATTTACCAATCTGATAGCTTAATTCATATTTTTTTCTGTGAATTACATCAGAATTGAAAAATTGTAATTTACGGGAATAGACTAGAAAATGAGGCAGACTATGGATGGATGATCAAGTTTGGACTGAGAGTGAATTATCAAATCAAGAACATTATGTTATAATCAGCCCAACTAATTTATTCCTTTGTCTGTGTTCTATTGCTTCATTAGGTCAGTAGGTATTTTTGGATATGTTGTGAGGACATGCTGAGAATGCCATAATTATGATGTTCAGCTTCTGCTGCATTCATACATAATGAACTCTAAAATTGCTTTATGGTTTAGAAATAAAATTATCTGTTTGCAGTTTTCTCCTGTACATTTTCAGAGCAGTGTACAGAAATGTATTCTGTAAGTGTGGAATTGTTGTCTTCTGCAGTATCCTCACATGAAACCTGTACACTATGGTATATTGAATCTACAGAGTATTTATCTAGCATCCATTAATCGGAATTTTGCAACTCGGCCCAAAGTATGCCTAAGAACTTCCTTATGTAAAAAATAAAATGGCCCAAAAGGAGATTAAAGTGTATATTGTTATATAAATAATCAAGGATTTGAGTATTAAGTATATTGATTTTTAAAGAGGATCCCACAAAAACAAATCTGGAAAATGTAAACAAAATTGTATTGTTGTTCTAGTGAAGACCTACTTTTGATGCTTACTTGTATATAATCTGAACACATTTATTTTTTAATAAATAACAGGACAGTTTTAGCTGCTAAGATTGAAAATTATATTATTTTACTTTTGCTCCCAAGTCACAATACCTTTTATTGTTAAGGATCATTTTATACTTAACAACTGTTTTATTTTTGAGGCATTTAAGCATAAATTATGGGCACTTGCCCATTGTACTCCAGAAGATTTAGGCAATGTCAGCAGTGTAGTTATAAAGAATAGGGATTTCTTAATTCTAACAAAATTTTCATTTCTCTGAATGAAAAAAAAAGATCATTGTCATAATTCCTTTAAGGATCTTAAGTTTTAGCTAAAGCTTTTATCATCTCAAAATACGGATATAAGACAAAGTGCATTTTAATATTTTAAAAACGAATGATAACTTTCAGAGAAGTTATGATGAAACTAAAATGGTTTATTTTGTTCTATTGACAATCCTATCATTAACATTCTTTGAAAGAATAATCAATCTGATCTCTCTTGAGGAGATATATATATATACACAGTATATATACATATATACATACATACATACATACATACACACACACACACACACACACACACACGGTACATAATGAGATGACTTGAAATCTTAATTTTTATCAGTGATCCTTTCATTTGTTCAGTGGTTATTTTTCCCTAGCTGGTCCACATGGACAGAGAATTTGCTTCATTTTTCTCTACGTTAGAAGAAGAGTTGCATTCTACATAGATACAGTGCTTCTTCCTAGACTTCAAGAGTCATCTGAAATGTCTCATTTTTTTTCCTAGGGCTTGGCTAAATGGTTTAATAAAGCTTTGCTGTAAATTTGCTGAACAGGAATATCCCCCATCTGGAATTATATTGGGGAATGACATGAAATTAACACTGTATGTTTATTTAACTTTGCAAGTTTTGAAAAAGCAGTTCTTTCTTCTCTGGTCCCTTTTGACTACATGTGGTCCTTGACTTACAACCCCAATTGAGCCCAAAATTCCCATTGCTAATCAAGATAGTTATTAAGTGAGTTTTGCGACCTTTCTTGCCACGGTTGTTAAGTTGAATCACTGCAGTTGTTACGTTAGTAACACAGTTGTTAAGTGAATCCGGGGCTGCGCCCTTGATTTTGCTCGTAACAAGGTTGCAAAGGGGGATCGCATGACTCCGGGAAACTGCAGCTGTCATAAATAGATGCCAGTTGCCAAGTGGCCGAATTTTGATACTGTGTCACTGGAGATGCTGCAGTGGTCATAAGTCTGAAAAACTGTCATAAGTCACTTTTTTCAGTGCCGTTGTAACTTTGAACATCACTAAATGAAGGGTTATAAGTCGAGGACTACCTATAACAGGTACATTTAACAAACAATTGCACACAGATGCTACTCTATGTTAATTCTTCTACCTGATTTGCATTTATTTTTCTTTCTTTCTTTCTAGGATAAAAAGTCTTACTTGGATGTCATTCATACCTATACAGAAGTTCATGGAACCGTCCACGGCACAAGCGCTGTCCACATGCCCAGCTATGTTAAGAACCACGGGATTCTCAGTGGCCGAGATTTGCAGTTCTTGCTGAGAGGAACAAAAGTAAGTTAGCTCTTTTTTTTCAAAGTTGAAATGGGTATGATGTAACTTATTTTAAATTGTTTTACTTCTTCCCTGTTTGGAACTCTGTCCTCCTTGGCTAAATCATATGTTCAGTTCCAACAAGATTCTTTGTAATATACAGAAGGGCGAACATAACATCTGTCTGCAACTTTTTAAATGACTAGCAACTTTTGTCAGGATCACATAGCTATTTTCTGTAACTATACTGTGTGATCTTGGGGGGGGGGGGTAAATGTGGTTGCTTTAAAGTCCTGCAGATAGATGTTAATTTGTGGGCCTTTATGTCCTGAAGCATCTTTGGGGAATCAAACCCAAAACCCTATTCCATAATAACCCCATTGTATTTCATTTTTTTCATTCTGTCAGGTAATGTAGTAGTACAGAGGTCCCCAATCTTTTGGGTACCAGGGACCGGTTCCGTGGAGAGAGGTTTTTCCGCGGACTGGAGGATGTGTAGTTTGGTGTGCTGCCTGCATCCCACGGATGGGGCTTTGCTTGTTTGTGAGGACTGGTTGCTGGCATGCTGCGGCCCGGTACTGGTCCACGGACCAGGGGGTTGTGGATCCCTGTACTAGTATACTAAATATATACTCAAGACTGCGATTCAATTCAACTGTCTTTTCAGTCAGGTGCCTTCACAATTAACTCTGTGCTTAGGAAAGTTGTAAGTTTCTTTCTCAAATCTTTTTTTAAACGAATACAACTCTTTTTTTTAAAGTGTGCTACGAACATTGAAATGCCTTGTTTTGACTTTAAAGAATCCAAACAGCCTCTAGGCACTTGGAGCAGACTTCATTGGCATCATTGGTTATCAATTCCAGAGGCATCGATTCCAGAGTTGGAATTGAAGCTGAGTATTATCAGCTACACCTAATGAGAAGGAAGGACTCACTGGAGAAGGGCCTAATGCTGGGAAAGATTGAGGGCAATAGAAGAAGGGGACGACAGAGAATGAGGTGGCTGGATGGAGTCACTGAAGCAGTAGGTGTGAGCTTAAATGGACTCCAAAAGATGGTAGAGGACAGGAAGACCTGGAGGAACGTTGTCCATGGGGTCGTGATGGGTCGGACACGACTTCACAATTAACAACAAATTATCAGCTAACAGATGATACCCGTTGCCATGTTGACAAATGACCTGTCACCTAGTTCTTATAGTTGTTGCCTAGAAGAAAGGAGGGCCTTGTGACACCCCACAACTGAGGAGCCTAAGGGGCCAGTCTTTCTCTACCATCAATGACTGGAACTACCCAGTGATGGGATTCAGCCAGTTCGCACCTGTTCGGCAGAACTGGTAACTAATTTTTTGTTGCCCAGGCCCAGAATGGACTTTTGGAAGCGGCATCCACACAGAGAACCGGTTGTTCACATATTTGAATCCCACCACTGGAACTACCCCGGTTAAAAGGAGGAGAATTCCTGCAGAACAATATCCCCTCACTCTCAACTTTCAGGGGCAGAAAGATAGCGTACAGGTAGTCCTCGACTTACAACGGTTCATTTAGTGACCATTCAAAGTTACAATGGCACTTTAAAAAGTGACTTATGACTGTTTTTCACACTTACGACCGTTGCAGCATCCCCATGGTCACGTGATCAAAATTCAAACACTTGGCAACTGGCTCATATTTATGACGGTTGCGGTGCCCTTGGCTCATCAGGTGATCCCCTTTTGCGACCGTCTGACAGACAAAGTCAATGGGCAATCCAGATCCACTTAACAACCGGGTTTACTAACAGCTGCCGTGATTCAGTTAACAACTGTGGCAAGAAAGGTCATAAAAACGGGGCAAAATTCACTTAACAAATGTTTCACTTAGCAACAGAAATTTTGGGCTCAGTTGTGGCCTACCTGTAGTTGACGGTATTCAGGCTTGATGAAAGGACAACTAATATAAAAGGACCATACACTCCCTATCCTGGTCTCAACAGAGACCATTCACCAATTGCAGTTGGTGCTATATTAACACCATACTGGGCCAGAAGCCTGAGTGAAATAGGTTCAGTAATATTTTTATTCCAGGTCCTTTTGCAGCCATTGCCCCACCACCTTCTCATCAAGCTGTAGATGAAGGCCAGTCAGAAGTTATCCAGAAGCAATCGCTTCTTGAAAAGAAAGCACACCACTGCCTTCTTCGGGGAGGACAATAGCACTCCTTCATTCAGATATGCATTTATCACCACGCTGACCCACCTTTGGGTCCCTCCAAAGTAACAGAGCCAAAGCTACAGAGAACCCTGTTCACTTCCTCAGAACTCCCAGAGTAAACTTACTGCAGATAATCCGCAAGACAGTCGCCTCCTTGGGATTTGCCCAACCAACATTCAGCTGGGAGTGGATCAGAGTGATTTTGTCATCTGGATGCCTCCAAAACTCCTCCAAGAGATTATATCCCCACCCATTCCCTAGTAAGGCCTGGGTCATTTTAAAAAAAATAGATGCATTAAGAATGGGGTTTTTTTTACATTCTATCTCTCTGATTAGCAGAGTGTAAGACGTGGATGTCAAACTCGTCATGTGACGTGTCGTGACGTATCGTGACTTTTTTTGCATTTCCGGAGCTGGGGTGGGCGTGGCTTCCATATGATGATGCAACTGGCCCACGGACCGGCAGTTTGACACCCCTGGTGTAAGAGAATCAAGTGCATGAAGACAAACCAAACACTGGCAGTAAACATTTAGAATTTCCCTTCAGGAAAGTAAGATGAATTCACAGATGGAGGAGAAACCTCCGGAGTAGCCTCCAAATTAGAAAAACCATGTTGTTTACTCCGAGTCCAGTTTATCCAGCTCCTGCAGTTTTGATTTTCATGCCATTGAGGATCACTTCTATGACGATCTCTGCCTATTCATTTCCTGAGGTTCCTGAAATGTCGTACAAAGTAACCATGGTGTTCCTCTGAACATCCTAGCAGTTTTCCAAGATGACGAAAGAAAAGGGGGAAAAAAACAGATCTCCTTGTTTTTTAGAACAATTTTGCGTGACTTTCAGTATGGCCAGGAACATTGGGAAACCACGAATCACCGATTTTTTTCCCCCCTGTTTGCATTCATTTCCCTTGAAATCCTATACTTTAAAACTTGGAAGTGGCAAGCAGATAGAGTTTCCTAAAAATCCCAAAAAAGGAATTTAGGTCTTTGGACTAATTTGGACCCTGGATAGTTTGTAACTTAACCCAAGCACAATCTGGATGAAGTTCTAGTTTATCCCTTCACAGTATGGACATTACTAATAATATTTTGAAGATTTTGTATTACGTAAGTTGGCCTGGTTTTTATTCATTCTAAAAGGTCACGCCTGCCGCATGACTAACAGGGTTTGCTCTTTTAATGATAACTGTATAAACAAAACCTTTTCATTTAAAATGAAGTTGTACATCAATGTGATACCTCAGGTTGACATAGTGAATAATGTAGCAACTTCTAAAATAGGCTTTTTAGTTTGTAATAGTTACTTCAAGTGACTGAAGAGCAGTTAGGGTTGTATTTCTTGTTAAATGGTGACAGAAGCTCTTGATCTGTCAAACGGCAAAGCTCCTGGGTTCAGTGGAAAAGAGATTTTCCTTAACGTATTGACAGTACAGAAGAGAAAAGAATGTCTCTGTACTGAAGTAACAAACAAACGAATGTTTATTTAACCAATGGTATTAATTTCCGTATCTAATTCAAACCAAATCAGCACTGAATTGTTGGTGACATTTTCATGCCCTTCAGCCATATTTCCATTGCAGTTAATATAATTTTTTTTGTAAATTTTAATCAGACATTTCAGTCAAATATTCAGAAATGGATAATTGTGTGCATCACGGTGTTACTTAAACCAAGGGAGCAGAGACAGAGATAGAACAAACGATTATGATCTACCTACCACTCTGCACTTTGTTTGGGAAGTATTCTTTCAAAGTCTAAACGTCATTCTTGGCCTCTTAATAAAAAAAATATCTATCATAAGCCTTACAATTAGATGATAGCTATCTCCTGCGGTTTAAACTGTTTCTTCACTCCAAACTTTTGTAGTATATTAGTCTTCAGAAAACAGTTTAAAAATGTATTAGAATGCCAGTAATAATTCTTGTATTTCCTGTTTATAAATCATTTGTGTTTTCCGTTCAATTCTTTCGTAATGCATTAATTTCTAAGAATAGCTTTTTAATACAACTTTCCATGAAATTGTGGTGCTGTGGATAAATTCACATTCTTGTGAACTTTGCTGCCACCTACTGTTTGTAGTTGGAACATTTTTGACTCCTTGAATGATATGAACATTTAACCATCCAACAGCACTGGAGGTGACAGTTGACAAAAAATGCCTTAAACAATTAAATTAAATTGTAAAATCTGCATTCATATGAGTTTGGGACACTTTTCCAAATACATTTTAAATCAAACTGCTCTATTATAATCTATTGCTCTTAATTAATTTCATATATGTATTCACAGACAACTTGTGAATATTTTCCACCTGTTTCCATTTTTATACTGTTTAATTTTTTATTTTTTTACAAAGCTGTTACTAAATTCGCAAAAAATACAAATTCTTAAAGATCACTTTGATAAATTATGTGCCAAATACAAACTAAGTTAGCTTGTACTAAAATACACATCACTCTAATTTCTAATCTGGGCTAGATAGGATTTAGAGCTGATTGTTAATGAAGGGCCCAATCTGGGCCCAGAGTTTAATAGCAGTCCTATTTTGATGTTATTTATAGGCATATTTTAAGGCTATTTTTGTATTGAGCAATTGAAGCTGCTTGGCTGAATATTTTTATGAAGAGGTTTTAACACTAGCAGTACTGGTTTGTTACTTCTACTTGAGTTATTTTCTGAAATGATTATTGAGAAAATTAATACAACCAAACAAAGCAGAATTCTTTCTCTTGCCAAAAAGACAGCACTGTCCATTCTTGGAAGGTTGTTTTTCTGAAAAGATTTAGGATCTCCCCTTTGCCATCAAGTTACTTTCTGCTTGACAACACTCTCAAACCCAGCCGAGCTTAACCTAAATCTTGACTACCTTAAAAGCCTCTTTCTGACAGCAAAAGCAAGAAATTGCAAAAGATGATGAAAGATTTGGGAGAGAAATGATTCTAATTATTTTTCAGGTTCTCAGTACTGTTCAAAAATACAGACTTGGATTCAAGCGAGTTTCCTCAAGATGATGCAAATGTAGAAAGACCTAAATCAAGAGTTTCTATTTTGCAGCTTTTTGTGGGCCTTGGCTTTCCATATGAGGGTCCTGCACCTTTGGAGGCTATTGCAAATGGATGTGCATTTTTGAACCCGAAGTTTAATCCACCAAAAAGCAGCAAAAACACAGACTTCTTCAAAGGCAAGCCAACTCTTAGAGAGGTATGTTTTTATTTGTAATTACTGCTGATTAGATATGTGAACAGTATCTTTGAAACACATCTTCAAACACAACCCTGTACTGAAATACAATAGTTTATTGTTATCAGGCCATGCTGTTGACAGAGTTCAAACCAGAGAACAAATCCCAGATAGAGAGGGAGGGAGGGAGGGAGGGAGGGAGGGAGAGAGAGAGAGAGAGAGAGAGAGAGAGAGAGAGAGAGAGAGAGAGAGAGAGA